GCGGAGAGTGCGCGGCAATCTGCTGCGCCTCCAGCTGGAGGTCGCCAATCCGACGCGCGCGCGAGCGCGGCGCGGCGCGCCGTCCCCCAGACTCTGCTCCTCAGCTCGCGCAGACCATCGAGCGCCTGCCGGCCGCGCGCGGCCGCCTGCGACGGGTCGCCGCGGCCCAACTCGTCCGCGGCGCGCCGCATCTGGTCTCGCGGCTTCGCGCGCCGCGCGCGCGTCGGGCGGGCTCCCGGCGCCCTGCCGGTCCGGCCGCACCAGCTCGCGGCCCAGCTCCTCCATCTGGCCGGCGCTGCTCGCTCTGACTCTGCGCGCCAGCCGCTCGAGCACAGAATCCGCTCGGCGGCTGGCGATCCCCGCTGGCGTCCGCCAGCGCCTGCTGTTGCCGGTTCAGATCCTCCTGGCGGCTTGCAAGCTCCTGCAGTCCGCCGGCCGCAGGCGCATCATCTCTCGAGCCTGGCGGAGGCTGCCTCCGGCGGCCCGGGGCCGAGCTCGTAGTTGTGCTGGCTGAAGCGCGGCGCAGCTCGCGGTCGAACAGCGCCGACAGGTCTTCCTGCGCGCCGCGGCCGCTGCCGCGCGCGCCCTGGCTCGTCGGCGGCTGCACCTGCGTGCGGCTGGACTCGTCGCGCGCCCGCAGCAGGTGGTCGAGCGCCGCCATCTCATGCGGGATCGCCGCGCCGGTCCGGCCGGCCCGCAGACCGGCCTCCGCGGCCGGTCATCGACTCGACCGCCGCCGCCAGCGCCGCCAGTACCTCGCGGGCTTCGTCGCCGCCGCCGGTGTCCGCAGCCGGGGCCGGCGGCCGCAGCCGCGACGCCAGCACGCGGGCCGCCAGCGCCACATCGTTCTGGGCGTCCGCCACGGTCTCCAGATCCTCAGGCGCCCGCTCGGCCGGCGGCCGGCCTGTCCAGCTTCCAGGTCGCTACGACAATCTGCTTCTGCAGCTCCGCGAGCCGACCCAGCTCGTCGGTCGGCATCCCCGTCGAGTCCTGGCTGCGGGCCTCCTCGAACTCGCGGCCGAACGGCCGCGTACCTGGAGGAAGTAGATGTCGCTGCGCGTCTCCACGGCGGCGGTATCGCGCGCCCGCACGTGGTAGGTGACGAACTTGCCCGGCTCCAGCGACAGCTCCTCGGCGAAGAGTTGTGGGAGCCGCCGAGCGCGCCCCCCCCCCCCCCCACCCCACCCCCCCCCCACCCCACCCCCGCGCCGTATCCTGTGCAAGGCTGACGACCCGGTCCGGCCTTCCGGGCACCGCCGTTACAACAGCTCAAAGCGGCGCAGCACAGTAGAAGTCCTAAGAGCGCCACGACCGAATAAACTCATCGAGAGGCGTGAATCTCGCGGTCGCCGCCGGGGCGCAGAATCTCAACGCGGGCGGCATGTCACGTATGCTGCGGATGAAATAGTCGATGCCCGCGGGGTTCCGCAATCAGTGGCGTAGACAGAGTAGATGCCGGTAAGGTTCGTAGGAAAGAATTAGAACGAGACGGACAGGATGGGGAAACCGACGGACGGAACCCGCCGCGCCAGTAATCGCCGCCCCCGGCGGCGCGGGCGAGAGCGGAACTGCTCAAAAGGATTGCTAATCCCACGGGAAAGGTCACAGCCGTGCACGAAGGCGGAATTGTAAATACCCGCAGCGATCACAGACCAGCACGGCACGCCAAGCCGAGCCGGCGGCACGGAGCGGTAGCGGTACGCGACGTCGATCCGCTCCACCCGCGGCGGGCGCAGCGCCGTCACGTCGAACCGCTCGGACTCCAGGGACGCGGCGCGCACGCGGTAGGCGAAGCTGTCGTCGACCGCGGGAATGAGAGACGGTAAGCCAAGGACGACGGAGGCAAACAATCTCGACCGCCTACTGCAACGCCCAACCGCAGCCGTCATTCATGAAGACGAACGGAGCGAGTCCCGGGGCGCCGCGCCGACGGCGACGTCGAGCCGGGCATCCAGGCGTAACGGGCGGCCCACCGGCACGCGCGCGTGCCCCGGCTCGACAAGCGAGAGACGTTGTGAGGAAAATGCGAAAGAGCCAAGGCAGTGCTGCCAAGGCGACCGAGCGGACCGCTGCCCAGCGCGAGCACCAGCAGCAGAACAGCGGCAGCCGCCAGCGTCACGAGCTAGCGGCAGGTGGAGATAACGAGAGCGGAAAAACCGCCGAGCGACGATGCACAGCGCGAGTGGAGCGCGGCTATTCGCGCACGACCAGTTCCCGGAACGGCGAGGGCCGGCCGCCGCGGATGACGTCCGCGGCGCTCGCCAGGCGGTCCTGTAGTGCGGGACAACGTTCCTCGATGAAGCGCGCGACCTGACCGTCGTCCGGCAGGCGCCGCAGGCGCCAGGCAACCCGGACGGCGGCGGCGCCGGACAGCAGCAGCGCCGCGGCCAGCAGGGCCACCATCAGCGCATCGGCCGGCCGCAGCCAGCGGTCGGCCGCGAGCACCAGCAGCAGGACGGCGGCCGCCGCGGCGGCCGCCGCGGCGGCCACGCGCAACACGCGGGCCGCCTGCCAGCGGCGGCGCACCTGTTTCAACAGCGCCAGGAGATCGTCGAATGCGGTTGGCGGCACGATGAGCCCGGAAAGCACTCTCTGGAATCCCGGTAGTCCAATTCTGTCACGCGACGGCGCGGCCGAGCCAGGATTCGGCCACCAGCAGGACAGCCATGGCCAGGATGGCGTACCACCACCAGCCCTGCTCCGCCTCCCGGGTTGCCGCATCGTCCCGCGCCGCACCCGCCGCCAACGCACCGTCGCGCCGTCCGACCCGCGACCGGAACGCCTCGGCGGTCATGCGCGCCGGAACGGACTCGCGAGGATCGACATTCAGCACGATGGAGCGGCCCGAGTCCGGCGCGACCGCCGCGCCCGGCAGCGGATCGACGCCCGGCGGCGCGTCGGCTACGAGCCGGCTGCGCGGCTGCTCCCGGCGCGCCCCGAGATACCGCGTCACCTCGTGGACGAACGGCACGAACGCCGGCCGGCGCGGGAAGTCGTTCCACTCGTTGCCGAGGTCCGAGGCAAACAGCAGCAGCCGGCCCGCCCCGGAAACCTGCTCCACGAGCGCCGGCATCCCGTCCGAGAATGCCGCGAGCACGCGCCCCCCGGTCGATTCCACCGGCTGCGTCCGCGAGAACCGCACCTGCCCCAGCGCACCGGGATCCGCGTCGAACACGCGGAAGATCGGATGCCGGGCATCGCTCACCGACCACCCCACGGCGCCACCGGTCGGCGCGGGCGGCGGCGCGAACGCGGTGCCCGAACCGAGCAGGTCGGCGGCCAGCGCCGGGTCGAGGCGCGGGCCGGCCACCAGCAGCAGGCCGGCACCCGCGGCCACACGCTCGGCGAGCCGTGCGCGAGCGGGCCGGTCGAGCCCGGCGGTGCCGAGCAGCCACGCGGCGGCCATGTCGTCGAGCGCCGTTGCGGTGACGGCGGCCGGCTCGAGATGCCGGACAACGAAGCGTTCCTGCTCCGCGGCGGCGCGCAGCGCCCGCTCCAGGTAGAACGCGTCGGCGGCGGACCCGATGAGCGCCACCTCCATACGATCCGCGGCGCCGAGCAGGTGGTAGCGGCGGTCGTCGGCCGCCACGCCGCCGGGATCGTCCACGGCAACTTCCAGCAGGCCGGCGGGCGGCAGCGCGGCGTCGAAGACGATGTCGGTGGGTCCCGGCGCGAGCGGCATCTCCTCGGCTTCGATCACCGCGCCCCCGGCGCGCAGCTCCACCCGGCCGCGGCGGCTCTCCCCGCCGGTGTTCGTCAGCACCGCGGCAGCGCCGGCCGGCGTCACCTCCAGCGCCGTCACGGCCAGATTGGCGCCGGCCGGCTCCACGGCCTGCGCCGTCACGGCAATCCCCTCCGGCACCAGTCCGCCCGCGCCGGCGTCCCAGCCGGACTGCTGGAGATCCGTGACCACCACGATGCGCCCCTCGCGCGCACCGATGACGCCGGCCGCGGCGTCCAGCGCCGCCGCGTAGCGCGTGGCGCCGTAGCCGGCCTCCGCGCGGCCGATCGCGGCCGCGGCAGCGTCGCGGCCGGGCGCCGGCTCCGCGACGACGCGCGCGCGGTCGTCGAACGTCACGACGCCAACCAGATCACCGGCCGGCGCCGCCGCGACCGCCGCGACCGCCGCTGCCCGGGCCCGCTCGAACATGCCGGGAAACGACATGCTGAACGACGTGTCGAGCGCCACGACCGTCACGGGCCGTCCCGCCAACCTGGTCGCATCGAAGAACGGGCGGGCAAACGCCGCCGCCAGCAGCAGCAGCGCCGCGACCCGCAACGCCAGCAGCAGCCAGTCCCGCAGCCACCGCCGGCGCACGGCCGCCGACTGCGCGCGGCGCAGGAATCGCAGGTCGCTGAACGCCAGCGGCGGCGCCGATTCGCGCCGCACGAAGTGCAGCAGGATCGGAATGGCAATCGCCAGTGCGCCGGCCAGAAACGCGGGAAACAGGAACGACACGGTAATTCAGCAGCGCCGGCTGCGCGCTGAGAGATAGGCCAGGAGCGCCTCGTCGAGCGCCTTCGACGTATCCACGAGGCAGTAGTCGATGCCGGCCAGCTGCAGCTCGCGCCGGTACAGCGCGATGAATCCTGGATCTCCTGCAGGTACCGCTCGCGCACGGCGGACGGCACGGCGGTCAGCTCGGCACCGCTCTCCAGGTCGCGGAAGCGCGCCGCATTCTCGAACGGAAACGTCAGCTCCGCCGGATCCAGCAGGTGGAACACGATGACGTCGACGCCGCGGAAGCGCAGATGCCGGAGTCCGCGGATGACCGCGGCGGGGTCGTCCAGCAGGTCGGAGATGAGCACCGCCATGCCCCGCCGCGACAACGCCTCCGCCAGCCGGTCGAGCGGCTTGGAAAGGTCCGACCCGCGCTCGGCCTGCAGCGCGTCCAGCGCAAGCAGCAGCCGCCGCAGATGGCCGGGGCGCCCGCTGGCGGGCAGGTGCTGGACGATCCGGTCGGCGAACGCCAGCAGGCCGACCGCGTCGTGCTGGCGGTTCATGAGGTACGCGATCGAGGCGGCCAGGTACGTCCCGTATCCTGCTTCGTCACGCCGCCCGAGCCGTAGCCCATCGACCCGGAGACGTCCAGCAGGAGGTGGCACTCCAGGTTGGTCTCCTCCTCGAACTTCTTGACGTAGTGCCGGTCGCTGCGCGCATACAGCTTCCAGTCGATCAGCGCCGTGTCGTCGCCCGGCATGTACTGCCGGTACTCGGAGAACTCCACGCTGAAGCCCTGGGCGGGGCTGCGATGCAGCCCCGCTGAGAAACCCTTCGACGACCGCCCGCGCGCGCAGCTCCATGGAGCCGATGCGCGCGATAACCGTCGGGTCGAGAAAGCGCAGCTCGTTGGGACGGGGCACCGCGGCCATGTCAGCCCGTGGCAAGACCCCGCGTCGCACCGAGAGCGGTGAGGCGCGTGGCTGGCAAGGCGTGAAGAGCGAGCATATTCGAAGATATGTGAGTGATGAGCAAGCCGCGCACGGCGCGGCCCGGCGGACGCGGCGCGGGGCGAAGGGGTCCCCGCAAGCAGCCGCCGGGGGTTTGGGGCGCAGCCCCATCTACCGGATGCCGCATCGCCGCTCGAATGCAGTGGGGTCTTGCCACGGGCTGACGACCTCACATGCCGCTGGCGGGCGCCGGCACGGTCTCCAGCAGGCGCGCGATCACCGTTTCCGCGTCGATGCCCTCGGACTCGGCGAAGAAGTTGGTGACCAGCCGGTGGCGCAGCGTCGGCGGGGCGAGCCGGCGGACGTCCTCCACCGACACGTGGTAGCGGCCCTGCATCAGCGCGCGCGCCTTGCCGCCCAGAATGAGCGCCTGCGAGGCGCGCAGGCCGGCGCCCCAGCGGACCCAGCGCTCCACGAACTCCGGGGTGTTGGCGCGGCCGGGCCGCGAGGCGTCCACGAGGCGCACGGCGTAACGCGCCACCTCGTCCGACACTACCACCTGGCGCACCAGCCGCTGAAACTCCAGGATGTCCGCGCCGTCGAGGATCCGCTCGGGCTCGCCGTGTTCGTCCGAGGTGGTGGTCGTCACCACCCGCACCTCGTCGTCCTCCGGCAGGTACGACATGACGACGTTGAACATGAACCGCGAGAGCTGCGCCTCGGCAGCGGGTAGGTCCCCTCCAGCTCGATCGGGTTCTGCGTCGCGAGCACGAGGAACGGCCGTTCCAGGTCGTAGCTCCGGCCGGCGGCAGTGACCTGGTACTCCTGCATCGCCTCGAGCAGGGCCGACTGCGTCTTGGGCGGGGTGCGGTTGATCTCGTCGGCCAGGATGATCTGGGCGAAGACCGGCCCCTTGACGAACCGCAGCGCCCGGTGGCCGTCGCTCTCCTCGAGCACCTCGGTGCCCGTGATGTCGGCCGGCATCAGGTCGGGCGTGAACTGAATCCGCTTGAACGTCAGGTGGAGCACGCGCGCGAGCGTCTTGACCAGCAGCGTCTTGGCCAGACCCGGTACGCCGGTGATCAGGCAGTGACCGCCGGTGAACAGCGCGATCAGGACCAGGTCGAGCACCTCGTCCTGGCCGACGATGACCTTGTGCAGCTCCGTCAGGATCCGTTCCCGTCCGTCCCTCACGCGCGCCGCGGCCTGCTCCGTATCCGTCACGTTCATCCGTTTGCCCTGGCGGCGTCCGTCTCAATGGGCGAGCGCATACACGATCTCGTTGATGATCATGCGGTACGCCCGGCCCGTGTGCTCCACGTAGCCCGGATACTCCTCGCGTTCGACCACTCCCAGCCGTCGCCCATGTCGGTATTGAAGTTGGCCAGCACCATCGCCCGGCCGTTGTCGTCCAGGATGCCGTGCAGCTGCGCCCGGTAGCCGCCCTTCTCCCACATCACGCCGCCGAAGAAGGACCCGAGTCCGGGTATCTGCGGATACTCCGGCAACACGTAGAAGCAGCTGAACACCGGATGGTCGGATGGCAGCTCGATCAGCGCCCGGTCGGGAAACACCCGCCGCAGCTGCTGCTCGAACAGCTCCCATTCGAGCGGGCCGTGGAAATCGTCGAAGGTGGCGGTGCCGCCGCGCAACAGGAACTCGCGCAGTATCCCGGCCTCCTCCTCCGACAGCTCCATGTTGGCCGGCTCGACGAAGTAGATCCATGGATACGCCCACAGCCGCCGGTCGGACAGCTCCATGATGAGCGGATCGTTGACCTTGACGGAGGTGACGCGCTCCATGCGGCGGGACAGGTTCTGCTCGGCGGCCGGTCCGTCAATGGCCCACGGCTCGCTCCAGTAACGGCGGCGGAACTGCTCCAGCCGCTCGGCCTCCGAGCTGTAGCGGATCCGGACGAACGTCCACTCGAGCCCGTCGAGGCCCGGACCGACCACCTGAGTAGCGACTGCCGGCGCCGCAACGGCGAGCAGCAGGCCGGCGGCAGCGATGAACGCAAACCGTGCCGGGAGACGCACCGGCCGCAGGCCGGCAGCTTTCACGGCGCCTCCTCGACCACGCGCAGCAGCAGTTCCTGCGCGCGCTCGTAGGTCGGCGCCATCTCCAGTGCGGCCAGCGCGGCGCGCTTGGCCTCGTCGAAGCGGCCGCCCAGCAGGTGGCTCTCCGCCAGATTGCACCAGGCCGACACACGGTCGACCGTCCCCGCCTCCAGCGCCACGGTGAACTCCAGCGCCGCGGCGTCCGCCGCGCCGCGCGCCAGCGCCATCCGACCGATGGCCACGTGGGGCACCGGATCAAACGGATCGATGCCGATCAGGCGGTCGTAGGCAAGGTTCATGCGGCGCTCGTCGCCCGCTTCCTCCGCCAGCGCGGCAAGCTGGCGGGCGGCTTCGAGCGAGGTCTCGTCAATTTCGAGCAGCAACTCCAGCTCCCGCAGCGCGCGGTCGCGATCCCCCTGCGACTCGGCAATCGCGGCGATGAGCCCACGCGGGCTGTCGATGCCCGTCATCATCGGCGCCAGCATGACCGCCCGTTCGAGCGCGGCAAGCGCAGCGTCCATCTCGCCCGCCTCGCGCAGCGCCCGTCCGAGCGCGAACTGGATCTCGAACCGGTCCGGGTGCTCCTCCGCCAGGCGGCGCAGGGCGTCGAGCTGGGCCGCCGGATCCGGCTCCGCCGGAGGCGCCGCGGCCGGATCCGCCGGCGCTTCCGGCGCCTCCGGCGCCACGGGCCGGAGCGCCTCCTGCAGCGCACCGAAACGCTCAGCCACGGACTCGTCGAAGCTGGCCTGCAGCGTGTCGAAGTCGAAACCGATGCTCACGAGCGCCTCCTCGGTGTCGAGGCCGCGCCCGTACGAGGTAATCAGGTCGTGCAGCACCGGCTCACCGTAGCGGTCCACGATATGCGCCACCAGGATCGACGCCTGAAAATACGCCAGCGAGATGGTCCGCGGGTCCGAGAACCCGCCGTTGAGGTCGCGCAGCGACAGCACGGCGTCGTCGTTGAGCGCCCGGGCGAACGACATGGCCTGGTCGCGGCCCCACGCCGGGCGGGCGCGCTGCTCCTCGTAGACCGACACGCCCTCCGACAGCCACCGCGGCAAGCGCTGCGCCGACATCTGCAGCGTGACGACGTGGGCGATCTCGTGCCACAGCGTGGCGCGCCAGTTGAAGTCGCCCGGCGGGCGGGCGCGCGGCGAATCCATCGTGACCACCCGCCCGAAGCAGGCGCCGAGCGCGCCGATCATCCCGGGCAACCCCAGGTTGCGCACGGCGAAGTCGTCGTGCCGCGGAAACACCTCGATCAGGATTGGCCCCTGGATCTCGACGTCGTACAGCGCCGCCAGGGTGTCGAGCGCCTCCTGCGCGAGCGACAGCACGTACTCCTTCAGGATCGGCGCCTCGGACGGGTGGAGGCGCACTATCAGATCCCCCCGCTCGAACGTCTCGAACTCGTCGAGCGTGTCCATCATCTCCAGCAGGTTGTAGGTGATGACGTCGAACGGGTCGTCGGCGAACGACCGCTCCAGCGCGGCCCGCGCCGCCGGCTCGTCGCCGGTGCGCAGCAGGTGCATGCCGAGCTCCGCGTGCGCCCGGCTGTTGCCGGGATCGATTTCAATCGCCCGGCGCACCAGCGTCACCGCCTCGTCGAAGCGGTACGCCAGGGCGGCCTGGCTGCCGGCGATGCGGTAGATCTCGCCGTACGCCGGGTTGATCTCCAGCGCGCGCGCCACCTCCGCCTCGAATTCAGGGATGCGGTCGTCCAGATACGCCATCGCGGCCGAGAGCGCACGCGACTCCAGACTCCCCGGGTTGATCCGCAGCGCCTCGTCGAGCGCCTCGCGCGCCGCGTCGTCGTTGCGGTCGCCCAGTTCCTGGGCGGCGATGAACAGGTGCGCGCCGATGTTGTCGGGGTCGATTTCCAGCGCGCGGTCGACGGAGCTGCGCGCGACGGGCGGGTTCTCATCGGCGAGGGCCTGCGCCAGGCCGAGATGGGCCGGCGCCCACTCCTCATCCAGCTTCAGCGCGTCCGTGTATGACTGGGACCGCGTCGGCCCGGTTGTACTTCTCTAGGAACAGGTCGCCCCACGCGGTCTGGATGGCGGGATCCTCGGGCGCCGCGAGCGCCGCGGCGCGCAACATGCCGTTCGCCTGCCGGAACCGCCCCAGCGCGCGCTCCGCGAGACCGCCGCGGTACTTGTCGACCGGCCGCCGGGACTGCGCACCGTACGCGGCCACGGCGTCCAGATACGTTGCCGCCTCCCGCGCGCGGCCGACCCGCTGCAGCAACAGCCCCATCTCCAGCGCGGCGGCACTCTCCGGGGCGGCCTGGGCGACCGGCGCAAGGAGCGTCTCGGCCGCGGCGTACTGCCCGCGGCGCACCTCCACGGCGGCCCGTACCGCGGCGGCGGCGGGGTCGTCCGCGGCGCGCGCGGCGGCCAGCGCTTCGGCCGCGTCAAGCTGGCCGCGGGCCAGGGCGCGGGTGGTTTCCTGATGGAATTGCAGCTCCGCGGTGTATGTCCCCGTATCCTGCGCTCGCAAGGGCGCCGAGCCGGACGCGAGGAGAACCGTGGCGAGCACGGCGGCCGGCAATCCGGCAGCCGCCCCGCGCTGCCGGCTGCGCGAGCCGGCCCGGTCGCGCGGTATGGCCTGCAGCATATCGCCCGATTATATGCGCATGGCCGCACCGCGGCCGGGAGCCGGCGGCCAGGGGTGTAGCACGGTTGAATATGGAAGGGGACGACGAGCACGCAAGCAATCGTCCCCAAGCCGCGCACGGCGCGGCTCGGCGGCCGCGGCGCGGGGCTATGGGGTCCCCGCTAGCGGCCGCCGGGGGTTCGGGGCGCAGCCCCGAGTTGATAAAGCCGTCCCCGCTAGCGGCCGCCGGGGGTTCGGGGCGCAGCCCCGAGTGGAACTAGAAGAACGCGAGGTTCTGGTGGGACGGAATCTCGAACCGGCGGCGGCACTTGCCGCAGACGACCATGTCGTCCACGCGCACGAGGTAGTTGCGTAGCTTGTCGAACATTGCGCGGTCGCGCGCGCCCGCGCCGCGGGGCAGGCGGTTCTTGCGGGTGCGCCGGATCCAGCGCACCTGGTAATCCCCCCGGAAGCGGCAACGCGGGCAGGAATAGCTGGCGGTCTTCGTCTCCGGCCGTTCGTCGAAGAATTCGCGCTCGTGCACGGCGCCTCGTCCCGGCCGCGCTACGCGGGCGGACCTTCCTTGCGGAACGTGACCAGGGACCAGATGCGGGGGATGTTGACCTTCTCGATCGACACCGGCTCGAACCCGGTCTGGAGCAGAAAAGCCGGCAGATCGACATCGGCCTTGAAGCCGATGTGCACCGTCAGGGGCGACAGGATGCGCTCGGCCCACGCCATCAGCCGGTTCTCGCTGCGGAAGTGGTTGAGAACCACCACATGACCGCCGGGGCGGCACACGCGGTGCATCTCGCGGGTGACCTGCACCGGGTCCGGGACAACGCTGATGACGTACGGGGCGTAAACGAGATCGAACGAGTCGTCCTCGAACTCCAGGTCGGCCGCGTCCATCTCCTGCAGGTCGACGTTGCGGACGCCTTGCGCGGCGATGCGGCGACCCGCCTTGGCCAGCATGGCGGCCGAGAAGTCGATGCCGGTCACCCGGCAGTCCCGGGGGTACAGGCAGGCGTTGATGCCCGTGCCTACGCTACTTCGAGGATGCGGTCACCCGGACGGATCGGCAGGCTGCCGATCGCCTCGAGCCGTCCGGCGTGCAGCGTCGGCCCGAAGAACAGGTCGTACCACCAGGAAATGTCCGTGTAGACACGCTCGACGAATTCGTTCTCGACGGCAGTGACGGACAGCGCGCGGGTCGCCGCGTCCGTGGCGACGACACCGAAAAGCACTATCTCGTCCCGAGCAGGCCTGATTGAACAGAGATTATCAAGTGATATGGTACTCCGTACCAGCCCCGGACTATATCCTGTCCCGCCGCGCACCGCAAGAAACGGGTATAGTGGTCGCTGTTACGTGCCGGTCGACGTGAAGTTTCTTCCAGCGTCACAGTTCCTGCTTACGACGCTCGTGGTCAAGGTGGCCGTCGTGGCCGTGCTGGCCACGATGCTGGTCCGCTTCCGGCAGTTCCGCCGGATCTGCTCACGGAGCAGCGCGCCTGGCGCGAGCGTCTGGTGTTCGCCGCGGCGTTCGGCCTCCCCCGGTGCGGCGGCGTCACCGCCCGCCTGCTGCTCAACTACAACGCCAGCGACCTTTCACTGGCCGGACCGTTCCTGACCGGCCTGATTGCCGGGCCCTATGCCGGCGCCATCGTCGGCGTGCTGGTCGGCGCGCCGGCGCTCATTGCCGGAGAGTTCATCGCCCTGCCGTTTGCCGTGGGGTGTGGATTCAGCGGCGGCGGCCTGCGCGAGATCTGCCCCAAGGAGGCGATCTGGAGCTCTGTCCTCCCATTGTTCTTCGCTGATCCTGCACTCGCACGCGCCTGGCAGATGATGGTCAGCGACGCTGCGCATCGACTGGCTCGTGGTGCTGCTGCCGGCGCCGGTCGGCCTGGAGCTGCTACGCCTGGGACTCGGGCTGCGGTTCGGCGACCATCTGTTCCACATGCAGCCGCCGAACGTCTGGTGGCGGTGGTGGTGGTCGCGTCCACCGTGATGTGCGTCACGATCCCGATCAAGATCTGGAACACGGCGCGCATCGAGCACCGCTGCAGAGCAAGCAGGAGCAACTGTATGCATGGACAGCCCGCACGAGGCAGCATGTCCAACCCGACAATCAACGCGCACTTCTGTTCAACGTCCTGACCTCGTCTGATCGGCTCTCGTCGGATCCGGTCGCATGATCGGATACCGGCCCGGACCTGACATCCTGACAGCGGTCGCGCGATGCTTGCGGCGTTGCTGCGGAGCCGCGAGCAGTTCGTCACGCTGCGCGAGGAGCTGGCGTCCATCGACGAGTATCTCGACATCGAAACGGCGCGTTTCGGACCGACGCTGGCGGTCGAGAAGGAAATCAGCGACGACAGTCTCGAGCTGCTCATGCCCAGCATGCTGCTGCAACCGCTCGTCGAGAACTCGATAAAGCACGGGCTCGCCCGCAAGGTCGGCGGCACGGCGGCGCGTTACACGATCCGCAGCGGCGACGCGGAGCCGCGAGTCATCGAGTGTGCCGACAACTGGCTGACCGGCATGGCAGCGTCGAGCGCCTTCCGGCGACGGCGGCAACAGCGGCATCGGCCTGCGCAACGTCGACGAACGCCTGCGGGTGATATACGGCGAGAATTACCATCTCCGCTTCGAAAGCACCCAAACCCGGCAAGGGGACCTGCGCCCGGATTCGGATCCCGCTGGTCGACGTGCCGCGGCCGGCAGCGATGCAGGCGGCCGGGAAGTGATGGCGCTGCGCACGCTGGTGGTCGACGACGAGCAGCCGGCCCGGCAGGAGCTCTGCTTCCAGCTCGATCGGATCGCCGCGGTGGAGATTGCCGGACAGGCCGGCGACGGCCTGGAGGCGCTCGCGCTGATCGAGACGCGCTGC